CTCCCCGGACCCTACATTCACTATATCTGGTCTCCCCGGACCCTGCATTCACTATATCCAGTCTCCCCGGACCCCGCATTCACTATATCTGGTCTCCCCGGACCCTGCATTCACTATATTCAGTCTCCCCGGACCCTGCATTCACTATATCCGGTCTCCCCAGGACCCTGCATTCACTATATCCGGTCTCCCCGAACCCTGCATTCACTATATCTGGTCTCCCCGGACCCTGCATTCACTATATCTGGTCTCCCCGGACCCTGCATTCACTATATCTGGTCTCCCCGGACCCTGCATTCACTATATCCGCTCTCCCCGGACCCTGCATTCACTATATCAGATCTCCCCCAGGACCCTGCATTCACTATATCCGGTCTCCACCGACCCTGCATTCACTATATCTGCTATCCCTGGACCCTACATTCACTTTATCCGGTCTCCCAGGACCCTGCATTCACTATATCCGGTCTCCCCACGACCCTGCATTCACTATATCCGGTCTCTCCGGACCCTGCATTCACTATATCCGGCCCCCCCGGACCCTGCATTCACTATATCTGGTCTCCCCGGACCCTGCATTCACTATATCCGGTCTCCCTGGACCCTGCATTCACTATATCTGGTCTCCCCGGACCCTGCATTCACTATATCCGGCCCCCCCGGACCCTGCATTCACTATATCTGGTCTCCTCGGACCCTGCATTATACTACCCACTGACACAACAATGGGGCACTATACCTCCCATCGACACCAGTGAAAGGGCACTATACCTCCCATCAACACCAATGATGGGGCACTATATCTCCCATAGACACCAGCAATAGGGCATTATACCTCCCATGGACACCAGTGATGGGGCACTATACCTTCCATCAACACCAATGATAGGGCACTATACCTTCCATCAACACCAATGATAGGGCACTATACCTTCCATCAACACCAATGATGGGGCACTATACCTCCCATGAATACCAGTGATGGGGCACTATACCTCCCAATGACACAAACAATGGGGCACTATTCCTCCAATTGACACCAGCAGTGGGCACTATACCTCCCACCAATACCAGCGACCACTGACCACCAGGCCAGTTTACACCCACCAATGCCAGGGCATTTTCTACTCCCACTGGCCACATTCTGGCCCCACTAAAAATTTAATGGCCAGTAAACTGGCCCTTTATTTTGAAAGTTTGGAGGTCCCAGCTCCAGAGCTTAGTAATTGAGGTAAAGCTTCACTTTGCAAAGAATACCCAATCACATGCAAGGATAATAAAAAAAACATTATGCTTGTACATGACTGGATGATGGAATTCAGCAGAGCTTCTGCTCATTTACTAAGCTCTGGAGCAACTGCCCTTGCAGAGTGCAACTGCCCTTTGCAAAGCGCACAGTCTATTTGCCTTTAGTAAATCAACCCCCATGTGCGAGGAAGGTGAATACTAATAAGGTGTACACTAGAGTCAGGAAAAACAGTTCCCTATGGACATTGGAAATTGGAATCGATCAGCAAGACCCAAGGTCTCAGATGTATTGGAATTCTTTCAATTAGGTCCGGCCAAGGCTCTATTCCCGGCATCAATAAAAGTAACGATTTTGACCTTGTCAGCCTTTACAGGCTTCCAGTGGGCATCACGTAGCCTTGTCTGTCAATTCGCCCAAGTAGTTCGATGTATGAGAGCTCCAAAGTAGCCGAGATTTCCAAAACAGACCTGTTAAATTGCCAAGGAACGACTAGTGTGGCAACGTAATGCTTAATGTATAACTAAAGGCAAACTTTTTTTTGTTGCCTACAATTCTACTTTAGCCACTTAAGGTTTTACCCCCTTCATGACCAGGGCTTTTTTTTTTTTTCTTATTGACCACTGCGTTTTTTTTAGCTGGCAATTGCACTGTCATGCAACACTGTACACAAATTAATTTTATCTAAAAAACAATTTTCACACAAATATAGCTTCCTTTTGGTGGTATTTGATCACCACTGGGGGTTTTTATCTTTTTTTTATTATTATTATTATGTCAACAAAAAAAGACCAAACATTTTGAATAACAAACACAATATGTTTTTACTTTCTGTTATGAAAAACATATCTAATAAAAATATTAAAAAAATCTAATTTCTTCATAAATTGAGGTCAAAATGGATTCTGCTACATGTATTTGGTAAAAAAAAAATACAGGTAGGTGTATAGTGATTGGTTTGTGCGAAAGGTATGGCATCTACAAACGATGGAATATACTGTATGCTGGAATGCTTATTCACTTTTTTATACTAGTAAAGGCAGTGATCAGCAACTTATAGCGGGACTGTGCGGTGGGTAATCTGACACTAACTGATACTGGGTGGGAACTGACTAACTGACTCTGACATCTCCATTGACACTAATACAGTGATCAGTGATAATACTATAAACCAGGGGTCTCCAAACTGTGGCCTGGGGGCTGGATGCAGCCCTTTGTTTCCTTTTATCTGGTCCTTGTGGCACTGTTTCATTCACTGACACCAATAATGGGGCACAGTTCCTCCCAATGAGACCAATGATGGGCCGTAGTTCCTCCCATCAACACCAACAATGGGGCACAGTTCCTGCCAATGACACCAACGATGGGGCACAGTTCTTCCCAATGGCACCAACAATGGGGCCTAGTGACACTAATGATGGGGCACAATTCCTACCAGTGACATCAATAATGGGGCACAATTCCTCCCAATGACACCAGTGATGGGGCACAATTCCTCTCAATGATACCAATGATGAGGCACAGTTCCTCCCAATAACACAAACAATGGGGCACAGTTCATCCCAATGATACCAACAATGGGGCCCAATGGCACTAATGATGGGACACAATTCCTACCAATGACACCAATAATGCGGCACAATTCCTACCAATGACACCAATAATGCGGCACAATTCCTCCCAATGACACCAATGATGGGGCACAATTCCTCCCAATAACACCAATGATGGGGCACAATTACTCCCAGTGAAGCCAGTGATGGGACACAGTTCTTTCCAATTACAGCAGTGATGGGGCACAATTCCTTCCAATGACACCAGTGATGGGGCACAATTCCTTCCAATGACACCAGTGATGGGGCACAATTCCTCCCAAATATACCAATGATGAGGCACAGGTCCTCCCAATGACTCCAACAATTGGGTACAGTTCCTCCCAATGACACCAACAATGGGGTCCAATGACACCAATGATGGGGCACAATTCCTCCCAATAACACCAATGATGGGGCACAATTCCTCCCAGTGAAGCCAGTGATGGGGCACAGTTCGTTCCAATTACAGTAGTGATGGGGCACAATTCCTTCCAATGACACCAGTGATGGGGCACAATTCCTCCCAATTATACCAATGATGAGGCACAGGTCCTCCCAATGACTCCAACAATTGGGCACAGTTCCTCCCAATGACACCAACAATGGGGTCCAATGACACCAATGATGGGGCACAATTCCTCCCAGTGAAGCCAGTTATGGGGCACAGTTCTTCCCAATTACACCAGTGATGGGGCACAATTGCATGTGGGTTTAGTAACACTTTAAAATAAGGTGTGCATGGAGCCTAAAATGCTTATCTTTTATTTACTCATGTAAAACCTTTATCCCAAAAGAAAAAAAAAATGGTGCTGAGTATAAAGTGTGAGCTGGACTTTGGCTTCAATTTGTTATTGTATTCAAATCTGCTAATACATTTAACACTCCCCTCCCCCCAGACCGACAATGCTGCTGTCTGCTGTGTCCTGGCTAATTCCTCCAAAGTGGTGTTTCAATAATACAGGAGGTGAAAACAGGGGGAAAAAGCCAAAGAAAAGAAAACCAATACAGCCACCACATCTAATGATTGGTAAGCTGCTATATATTACATTTTTGGGTTTTGGGTTTAATACCGATTTAGGACAGCCTTACCTTACCACAGGAAGGAGGGTATGAGCAGGGGCGGACTGACCATTCAAGCACTCGGGCACTGCCCGAGGGCCTGGGGTCAGTAGGGGGCCCCATGAGATGCCCCTGGTACCTTTCATAGGCTTTTTTGGGTGTGGTTTGAGTGTGGGCGATGAAACAGGGGCCCCATGATCCCCTATTACCCGGGGGCCCCATGAGTTGTCAGTCCACCCCTGGGTATGAGAAATCAGGGCATTAGGATGAAGACCTGACCAGATAAGTTATTACACCAATGATGAAATTTGGTCCAAGGGGTAATCAGAATTTCACCAAGTGAGTTAAGCGATCACTCCTCCATTTGACCATATCTGTTAGTAAGTCTTCAGTATGTGACAGCTTGCTGTAGCATTCCATGTAATAAATATTATATGTGGCCCTTTGGAGACATTAGGGGATTCCTTTGAGGCCCCCTTTCCCTTGCAAGTTGACAAGCCCTGGTCTAGTCCATCTATGTTCTATCCAAAACTAACTAAGTAAAGGTTGTGTCTAGAGATACACTTGAGAGGGTGAGATGAGATACAACACTTGTTAATTAATACATTCCTTTGATACCATCAGGGATGCGACTTACATTCAAGGTGCCCCAGACTTTGCAAAGGCACACTCGATTTTTAAATGAGGAACCCTTAAAATTAATTCAAAAGAGTGGGGACGGGATTAAGGCCACTTTCTGGCTTTTGTTTGTGGTCCCCGTTGAAGAGATTTCCTGTCAAGAGAGGAATTGGTGGGAAATTTCTCCATTTAACTTCAACTCCATTTTCTTTTCCCGACTATTCTCCATGGCAGCATACAAATAGGTAGGCTCTACCCCATTAAGGTCCCTTTCACACAGGTTGTCCGCAGGGGCGGACTGACCATTTGGAAACTCGGGCACTGCCCGAGGGCCCGGGGTCAGTAGGAGGCCCCATGAGATGCCCCTGGTACCTTTGTCATAGGCTTTTTTGAGTTTGGGAAAGGGCACAGGGGCCCCATGATCCCCTATTGCCCGGGGACCCCATGAGTTGTCAGTCTGCCACTGGTTGTCCGTTTTTCAGGTGGACCTGATGGGACCATGCAGTGTTCTTAATGGGGAGATGGATGTAAACAGACATGTGTCCGTCTATGCCTGCATGCATCCGATCCACTGAATATAAGCGAATGGGGATCCATCTATCCGTCTAGTGCAGGGGTCTCCAAACTTTCTAAACAAAGGGCCAGGTTACTGTCCTACAGACTTTACGAGGGCAAGACTGCGGTCAGTGGGAGAAGAAAAGGTTCCGACGTCAGTGGGGAAAAAATAATGCCCCGTTGTTTGGTGTCAGTGGGAGGAATTGTGACCCATCATTGATGTCATTGGACCTTATCATTTGTGTCATTGGAAGGAATTGTGCCCCATCATTGTTGCCATTGGACCCTATGATTGGTCTCACTGGAAGGAATTGTGCCCCATCATTGATGCCATTGGACCTTATCATTTGTGTCACTGGAAGGAATTGTGCCCCATCATTGATGCCATTGGACCTTATCATTTGTGTCACTGGAAGGAATTGTGCCCCATCATTGATGCCATTGGACCTTATCATTTGTGCTACTGGAAGGAATTGTGCCCCAATATTGATGTCATTGAACCCTATCATTTGTGACACTGGAAGGAATTGCGCCCCCAATATTGATGTCCTTGGACCTTATCATTTGTGTCACTGGAAGGAATTGTGACCCATCATTGATGCCATTGGACCAGGGGCGGACTGACCATTCGAGCACTCGGGCACTGCCCGAGGGTCAGGGGTGAGTAGGGTGCCCCATGAAATGCCCCTAGTACCTGTTATTAGCTTTTTCATAGGCTTTTTTGGGTTTGGGCCAGGACACAGGCCCCATGAGTTGTCAGTCCGCCCCTGCATTGGATCTTATCATTTGTGTCACTGGAAGGAATTGTGCCCCATATTTGATGTCATTGGACCTTATCATTTGTGTCACTGGAAGGAATTGTGCCCCATCAGTGATGTCATTGGACCCTATGATTGGTGTCACTGGAAGGAATTGTGCCCCATCATTGATGTCATTGGACCTTATCATTTGTGTCATTGGAAGGAATTGTGCCCCATCAGTGATGTCATTGGACCCTATGATTGGTGTCACTGGAAGGAATTGTGCTCCAATATTGATGTCATTGGACCAGGGGCGGACTGACCATTTGGAAACTCGGGCACTTCCCAAGGGCCCGGGGTCAGTAGGGGGCCCCATGAGATGCCCCTGGTACCTTTTTCATAGGCTTTTTTGAGTTTGGGCAAGGACACAGGGGCCCCCATGATCCCCTACTGCCCGGGGGCCCCATGAGTTGTCAGTCCGCCCCTGCATTGGACCTTATCATTTGTGTCACTGGAAGGAATTGTGCCCCATAATTGATGTCATTGGACCTTATCATTGGTGTCACTGGAAGGAATTGTGCCCCATCATTGATGCCATTGGACCCTATCATATGTGTCAGTGTTGGACAGAAGGAAAATGATGGGAATTTTTTGAGTTGACCCCAGAACACGAGGTGAGGAGAAATGTTCCAATGGGGAATACATTTAACACCCCCCATCCAACCAGACTGATGATGCTGCTGTCTGCTGTGTCCTGGCTAATTCCTCCAGAGTTGTGTCTCACTAATACAGGAAGTGTGATACTGGCCAGATCACCAGGTGGAAATTGAAGGGAAAAAAGCTTAAAGAAAGAAAACCTAATGCAGTCACCACATCTAAGAACTGATAAACTGCAATATATTACATTTTAATGGTTTTGGGTTTAATAACACTTTAAACCCAAAAGCAAACATTTATTATATTGCAGCTTACCATTTCCTAAATGTGAAGGCTGCATTTGTTTTTTTAAATGCTTTCTTTCCTTTATGTTCACCTGGTGATCCAGTCAGTAAGTTTGTTGTTTTTTCAAAAGCTCCCCAGCAGAATGTATCAGTTACAGGAATGAGACAAACCAATTAACACTGATAGGGGTGCTTACAATGATCAGCTTTTATTTATTTATGTAAAGCCTTGATCCCAAAGGGGAAAAAAAAACGTTTGCTGTAACAGATTATAAAGTATTAGCTGGAGTTTGGCTTCAATTTGTTAGTTTATCTAAATCTGCTAGTCCATCTAACCAGGGGCGGACTGACTACTCATGGGGCCCCTGGGCAATAGGGGATCATGGGGCCCCTGTGTCCTTGCCCAAACTCAAAAAAAGCCTATGAAAAAGGTACCAGGGGCATCTCATGGGGCCCCCTACTGACTCCAGGCCTTCGGGCAGTGCCAGTTTCCAAATGGTCAGTCCGCCCCTGCATCTAACACTCCCCTCTACCCAGACTGACAATGCTGCTGTCCAGAGGTGCCCCCCTGTGCTCTTTCATCCAGAGTGGAGTCACTCAAAACACAGGGGCGGACTGACTATTTGGAAACTCGGGCACAGCCCGAGGGCCCGGGGTCAGTAGGGGGCCCCATGAAATGCCCCTGGTACCTTTATCATAAGCTTTTTTGAATTTGGGCAAGGACACAGGGGCCCCATGATCCCCTATTGCCCGGGGGCCTCAGGAGTTGTCAGTCCGCCCCTGATCCAGTTATATTCTGTGTATCTGAGAAAGAATCCAGGACTTTTTTGAAGCAATCCACTGAGCTGGCCAATGGCTGATGGTACTTGTAGTCTATCCATTCACAGAAAAAAACATGTGGGCGGAGCCATGTGCCCTCACTCTGTTTTCAAATTGTGACAGCGGGCGCAGGGACAGGATCTCCCACCCACTGTCACAGGGAGGGGGGGATCAAGAAGAAAGGGTACAGATACTGACGGGCGGACTGACCATTTGGAAACTTGGGCACTGCCCGAGGGCCCGGGTCAGTAGGGGCCCCATGAGATGCCCCTGGTACCTTTTTCATAGGCTTTTTTGAGTTTTGGCAAGGGCACAGGGGCCCCATGATCCCCTATTGCCCGGGGGCCCCATGAGTTGTCAGTCCACCCCTGTACAGGAGACGTGTTACTGGCCAGATCACCAGGTTAGAACAGAGGGGGAGGGAAAAAAAGCCTAAAAAAAAGAAAACTAATGCAGCCATTGATTGGTAAGCTGCAATATATAAAAATTTTTGGGTTTGGGTTTAATACCACTTTAACAAACAGAACTTGTGATTTTCTAATTTTATATTCTATGACTTTTAATAGTGGTTTTTTGAACCTTTTTTTGAATGAAATAAAAGTCTGAAATATAAAAAAAAAATAAAATAAAAATGTAAAAATGTATTTTTGTCACAGTGTGGACCAGGATATGTAGTATATTGCTATTTTCTTCAGTGTTTCCAATTGTCAGCCACAAGAAGGATCACAGAGTTTGGAAAGCTTGTTGTTTATGTATACAGTATATTAGTCATGAAAGGATATCACGCCACGGTCATCCTCCTTCGTCTGTTTGTCTTCTTGTTGAGAACAACATATTTGTGAACAGCAATAAAAAATAAACATGCTAGGAAATAGTCTGAAGCTAAAGCACATGGGGAAGTTCTGCCCTGCTACAGACATGCAATGATGGCTCTCCAATCTGAAGTCGGGCTACGAGACATTTGTACCTCTATAGCAGGGGTCTCCAAACTGCACCCCATATCTGGCCCACTACAAGATTCTATCCAGCCCACAGCTAGTGTCAGTGGTTTACCCTTCATGTGCCCAGATTAAGGTCAGTAGAGGCTGTGATCTCTGCTTAAACACCCCCCATGTAAGGAGGGGACTCTGATGGGGACCCTAATATAAGGGGGGGGCTGTGATGGAGACTTTGATGTAAGGGGGACTATAATGGTGACCCTGGTTTAGGGGGGATTCCAGGGACCCTGATGTAAGGAAAAACTCTGATGGGGACACCCAACATAAAGAGCAGGGGTGAAATTGACCATTTGGAAATTCGGGCACTGCCCGAGGGCCCGGGGTCAGTAGGGGGCCCCATGAGATGCCCCTGGTACCTTTTTCATAGACTTTTTTGACACAGGGGCCCCATGATCCCCTATTGCCCGGGGGCCCCATGAGTTGTCAGTCCGCTCCTGATAAAGAGGTATTCACACGGGGACCCTGATGTAAGGAGGGGTTCTGATGGGAACCCTAATAGAAGGGGCTCTCTGATGGGGGCCTTGATGTAATAGGGGACTTTGATGGGGACCCTGATATAAGGGGAAACTCTGCTGGGGACCCTGATGTAAGGGGTACTCTGATGGAAATTCTGATGTAAGGGGGGACTCTAATGGTGACCCTGGTCTAGGGGAGATTCCAGGGATCCTGATGTAAGGGGAAACTCTGATGGGGACACCTAATATAAAGGGGTACTCACATGGGGACCCTGATGTAAGGAGGGGCTGTGATGGGAACCCTAATAGAAAGGGTTCTCTGATGGGGGCCTTAATGTAATACAGGACTCTGATGGGGACTTTTATGTTGAGGGGTGACTTTGATGGGGACCTTGATGTAAGGGGAAACTCTGCTGGGGACACCTAATGTAAAGAGGTACTCACGTGGGAACCCTGATGTAAGGAGGGACTCTGATGGGAACCCTAATATTATTATACAGGATTTATATAGCACCAACAGTTTGCTCAGCGCTTTACAATATAAAGGGAGACAATACAGCAACAATACAGTTCAATACAAGAGTAGAAGGGGTTCTCTGATGGGGGCCTTGATGTAATAGGGGACTCTGATGGGGACCCTTATGTTGAGGGGTGACTTTGATGGGGACCTTGATGTAAGGGGAAACTCTGCTGGTGACATCTAATGTAAAGAGGTACTCACATGGGAACCCCGATGTAAGGAGGGGCTGTGATGGTAACCCTAATAGAAGGGGTTTTCTGATGGGGGCCTTGATGTAATAGGGGACTCTGATGGGGACTTTTATGTTGAGGGTTGACTTTGATGGGGACCTTGATATAAGGGGAAACTCTGCTGGGGACCTGATGTAAGGGGTACTCTGATGGAAATTCTGATCTAAGGGGGGACTCTGATGGGGACCCTGATATAAAGAGGGGACTCTGATCGGGACTCTGATGTAGAAAAGGTTCTCTGATGGGGTCCTTGATGTAATAGGGGACTCTAATGGGGACCCCTATGTTGAGGGGTGACTTTGATGGGGACCCTGATGTAAGGAGAAAATCTGCTGGGGACCCTGATGTAAGGGGTACTCTGATGGAAATTCTGATGTAAGGGGGACTCTATTGGTGACCCTGGTTTAGGGGGGATTCCAGGGATCCTGATGTAAGGGGAAACTCTGATGGGGGCACCTAATATAAAGAGGTACTCACATGGGGACCCTGATGTAAGGAGTGGCTCTGATGGGAACCCTAATAGAAGGGGCTCTCTGATGGGGGCCTTGATGTAATAGGGGACTCTGATGGGGACCCTTATATTGAAGGGGGGCTCTGATGGGGACCCTGATGTAAGGAGAAACTCTGATGGGGACCCTGATGTAAGGAGAAACTCTGATGGGGACCCTGATGTAAGGGGTACTCTGATGGAAATTCTGATGTGAGGGGGAACTCTGATGGGGACCCTGATATAAAGAGGGACTCTGATCGGGACTCTGATGTAAGGGGTTGACTCTGATGTGGACCCTGGTGTAAGGGCAGCTCAGATGGAGATTTTGATGTAAGAGGGACATTAATGGTGAGCCTGATGTAAGGGGGGACTCTGATGGGGACTTTGATCAAAGAGGAGGTTCTGATGGAGACCCTGATGTAAAAGAGGATTCTGGTGGGAACTCTGATGTAAGGGGAGACTCTGATCGAGACTCTGATATAAAGAGAGACTCTAATGGGGACCCTGATGTAATGGGGGCTCTGAAGGAGACTTTGATGCACGGGGGACACTAATGGAGACCCTGATGGAAGGAGGGACTCTGATGGAAACTCTGATGTAAGGAGGAGGGACTTTGATAGGACTCTGATGTAAGGGGGGACTCTCATGAGGACCCTGAAGTAAGGAGAGACACAGATGGGGACCCTGATATAAAGAGGGACTCTCATGGGGTCCCTGATATAATGGGGGCTCTGATGGAGACTTTGATGCAAGGAGGACACTAATGGAGACCCTGTTGGAAGGTGAGAATCTGATGGGTACCCCGATGTTCATGGGAACTCTGATCTACGGAGGAACTCTGATAGGACCCTGATGTAGGGGGCCTCTCATGGGGACCCTGATGTAAGGGGGGTGACACTGATGGAGACCCTGATGTAGGGGGAACTCTGATCAGGATTTTTTTGGCACATGAAAATTTGTCAAATATTCCTTCTGAACCTAATTTTATTATTTAAAAAAAAAAAATAGACTTTTGCTTTAACGTCTGCTTAAAGCTGAACTCCGGCCTTCCCATCAGTCTTGCCGAGTTGTACCGGCTCCTCTCCTGGACTGAAATGGCTTACTCTGATTTCACTGCACACTGTGAGCTTCTCCCAATGTGCATTAGAAACTGCAACAAGTCAGACAGTGCCCTCCTCATTCCCTGGCTGGAGGACATCCAGCATCATCTAGCACATTCCTCCCCAGCCTGACTACCCCTGCCTAGCCACTTCCATTCATTGACTTTCAGTTCTTTCCATCATGGAGGCTGCAAATCACAGAAGCTTGCCTAGGAATATTCACTCCTCCAGACTGGTAAAGGACCTGAGCACCTGCATATCTATTTCTACTGCACACTGCAGGCCAATGATTAACAGGCCAGGGATGACTGAAGCTGATGGATTATTCTGTAAATGGAGCGATTAATTATGCTCTCTGTGCTGTAACCCCCCCTTGTATTTTGTTGTGTAGTGGGTTTATTTTGGTATTTTTGGGGAGACATACCAGGATACCTGCATAGATTAAAGAAAAAAAAAAAGAAAAAAAAAAATATATATATATATTTTTTTTTTAATTAATTATATATATATATATATATATATATAGACATACAATATATATATATACATACACATATATATAAATACATATACACACATATATATATATGTATTGTGTGTCTATATATATATATATATATATATATATATATATATATATATATACAGTATATATATATATTATTATACAGGATTTATATAACAGTTTGCTCAGCGCTTTACAATATAACGGGAGACAATACAGCAACAATACAAGAGGGATTATATATATACACACATATACACAGGGGCGGACTGACAACTCATGGGGCCCCTGGGCAATAGGGGATCATGGGGCCCCCTGTGTCCTTGCCCACACTCAAAAAAGCCTATGAAAAAGGTACCAGGGGCATCTCATGGGGCCCCCTACTGACCCCGGGCCCTCGGGCAGTGCCCGAGTTTCCAAATGGTCAATCCGCCCCTGGGTATATATATATACTGTTCAAGTCAAACCTAGACTTTTCCTTCTTCAGGTATAAAAAGGGATGCCAGTGTGGCGGTACTACACGTAGTAGTAAGTGGCAAGTGTGTCCTATTCCTGAGAGGTGGCACACATGTCACGGACCAGTCCAGGGACCATTAACCAAGGTGGTTGACAACATTGTTAGTGCATACATGGGACAGTGTGTAATGATGAAGTTTCTTGTGAATGAAGGCAGAACACCCGCGGATATCTACGACTATCTAAGACTTCAAGCACAATACGGTGATGAGACGC